TACATTTATGTTGCAGTGTTTTATATTTGTGTTGCATGTTATTGGATGGTAGTGCAATAATACTTAGGAATTCCAGGAATGCAGAATGGAGTACAAATCCCCACTAAATCTTCCCCACTCTGAGTGGTTAAAGGGCCAAACTAAATTATGAAGATGTAAAGAATTGTGACAATATTAGTTAATTGAGGGATTGCATCATTTAGTCTTAGCCTGTGGTGCCAATTAGCAGACCATAACTGATTGCAAGGCAGAGGTGAGATCACTAGGAAGAACGCTTAAGAGTAGATGGTCTGAGGTGAGGAGGAAAGTGAGATGTTCTGTAGAACTCTGGAGAAGAACTGCAAGGCAAAGGAAGAGATCTGTAATGGAGTGTGACAAGGAGTGTTAGGCAGAGCACAGAGCTGAGAAGAGCTGTCTTGTTGGCAGTAGACAGGAAGGTCAGAAGGATCTGCTTACAGTGATTTTCTAATGGGGAACACAGGAGTGCTGCCAAAAGTTCTATAATTCTATATTGTAGGTGTATGAGGTAAGAGGAAGTGGATAAGAGATAAATGCAGAGTAAACCAGTCAGCTAAGAGGTGAGTTAGGTGCAGGGTGAGAGAATGGAAAAAGGAGGGTAGAAGATAGCTCAGAGAAGGCCAGAAACCTGGAATGGAAAGGAATGGGGAAGAAGATCATATCTTTCTGAATTGTAGACTTTATATTATTTGTAATTTTCCTTTGAAATACTGGCTGTAGTTTATATTTCTTTGGTTCTTGTTTCTCTCACAGTTTTTAATGTGTGTTTGCTATGTGTGTAAGAAGGTTTTCCCTTTAAAGTTTCAGGATTTTGTTTTTGTTGTTGCTGCTGCTGTTTTATCTCTCAACAGACTCAGCCTATCCTAGGGAAATTTTTCTGTAGGCTATACTCCTTAGAAAGATAATAGTAAGAAACTCAAGAAATAAGACAAAAGTTAGACTAGAGGTTTTCCTATTCCTATATTTAATTGTGTGGCCAGATATTGTCAGTAGCTTTTATCCTTTACGTGTTTCGTCAGTCTGCTATATGTCAAGCACTACTGAGTGTTAGGAATAAAAGGATGAGTAAGACGGAGTTCAGATCACTGTGAGAGGATTTTTCTTTTTCCATTAAGTTTATTGGTACATTTTAGGTATAAAGTACAGTTACATTCATCATTGGGATCTTGTACCTTTACATGACATATCTTGGTTCTTATTTTTTCCCCATTCCTTGCCCTTCTTTCACCCCCTCTACCCTTCCCTATTTGCCAAGACTTTGTTTCCATTTTTTTCCTTTTCTCATATTTTCTCTTTTCCCTTCTTTCCTTTCCCCTACCCCTCCCACTTCCCCTACTCCTTTAGGCCTTTTTTTCCTATTACACAATATCAATTATACATTTTTTAAAAATTATAATATCAAGATTTAGAGGACATTACCATAGATTTTACAGAATTTAAAAGGATATAGAAAGCATATTGCAAAGATCTTTTTTGAAATAAATT